GTTGGACTTGATGATCTTAGAGGTCTTTTCCAACCTTAATGATTCTATGATTCTATGATTCTATGAAAATGAACTGATGGTGTCCTTGATGCTCTTCGCCACCTGCATCAGGGTATGAGCACCACCATCCGTGCCCTGCGGTGCCCCAGGGCACTCTCCGGACACAGTATAAACACCCCAGGCTCAGGCTCCGTCCGAGGTGGATCCCAATGCTGGCACAAGAAGTGGGTGAGTTGGCTGGGTCATGGCACTGTTGTTTCAACTGGGTTTGGTGAGATAGAGATGGATTAGAGAGATGGGGAGATGCTAGGGCTCCATGCAGGATTTATTATGTGATACCACTGCCAGAGATACATAAACATTTCCTGGCAGCAGTTCTGGCTGCATTATCCCAAACTCAGTGCATGAGTGTGGCAGGGAGGGCACTGGCCAATGTATTTCTCAAGGGGATGGAAGTAGCATGCTCCTCCTGCTCAGTTCTTCCAGACATAGTGGATGTAAAGGGATTTCACTTGGAGCGAGAATGGACTTGTGTACTTCTAATACTTAAAGTGCACTGGGTGGGAGCTAGGACAGAAGTTTGCCTGTAAATTTTCCATATTCTCTAAAACAGTAGTCCACAGTGCCAGGGAGTTCAGAGGGTTTAATTGTTTATTTTGCACTGGCTCAATAGCACCTGGCAATCCAGCAGCAGCTCAGAGCCCTGGTTCATGTTCCATGGACATAATGCATAAGGTGGCAGCTCCTGACACACAGCTGGTTACTCCTCATGGCACTGTAAATCCCCCTTTAGACCCTGACATTTTGATAATGCCCTGCTGCTGGTGGCTTTTAATTTTGTCTCTTTACATAGCTGACAAGAGAATTTCTCCAGATATCTGGGTGATCGGACACTGCTGCCTGGGGCTCTTACGAAGCAGAGCTTTTGGGATGAAAGGGGCTCTCCCCTGCCTTTCACTCGCCTTGCTCTTGGTGGAGTGAGCTCACACATGGTTGCAGAGACAGACCTTTTGTAGGGGTTGATACAGGCAGGCAAAGTCCCAAGAAGGGCAGGACTGAACCAAGCTCCTTGTGTCCTGATTTCGTAGGTAGCTTTCAAACAGCTCTGAGTCACTAAAACTGGGTGTCCCAGAGCAGGACGAGCAATGCGCATGCCTTCTTTGTGGCAGTCATGGGAGAGTAGAGAATTTTCCTTAATATATTTCCAACCCTGGAGATCTCTCAACTGCAGCATAAATGGTGGTCACGTTCAGGTATGTCAACCAGAGAAGCATTTATGCGATCGCTGTTTCAAGAGTGAATTTCCTGTATATTTTGCTCTAGTTCCCAGCAGCTGCAGGCAGTTGCAGGCAGAAGACTGTCCTTATTTCAAAGACTCAAAGAGCAGAAATGACAGTACATAGCCAAGATGAAGGGACCTGAATAGTGGAGGGGAACCCTGATGGGGCAAATTGCCCAATATCTAACACTTCCAGATAAAATGTGGTTCAGAAGTTTAAGTGTCTGTGCCATGAGCAATGCTAATCATGAATTCAGCTCCCCTTTGTATTCCAGGTACAGTTCAGCTGCTCTTGGAGCCCTTCTTTCTACCATTACACAGCTCCTGCAAGCGAGAAACAATGATGTGAAGTGTTGCATCAAGTCATGGCAGCACCCAACCTGTCGGGATCCCACCCCACGTTCTTCATCTTGGTGGGGATACCTGGGATGGAGAAGTCTCACACCTGGATCTCATTCCCAGTCTGCATGATGTACTCTTCTGCCCTTCTCGGGAACTTGGTCCTGCTGGTCACCATCGCAAAGGAGTGCAGCTTTCACGAGCCCGTGTACATCTTCCTGTGCATGCTGGCAGTGTGATTCCTGCTGTTGTCTACTGCCACTGTGCCCAAAACCTTCAGTGTCCTCTGGTCTCTGTCCACCCAAATCTCTTTCAGTGGCTGCCTGGCACAGATGTTCTCCATCTATTTCATTTTTGTGGCAGAGTCGGCCATTTTACTGGCGATGGCCTTTGATAGATACGTCGCCATTTGCAATCCCCTGCGATACACGGCCATCCTGACACACTCTGTTGTGGGGAAAGTTGGCGTGGCAGCTTTAATCAGGAGTTTCTGCATCATGTTCCCTGCCATCTTCCTCCTCAAGCGGCTGCCCTACTGTGGGCACAACATCATGCCCCACACCTACTGCAAGCACATTGGTGTGGCCTGCCTGGCCTGCTCTGACATCTCCATCAACATCTGGTATGGGGTAGCTGCTGGCTTCCTTTCAGCCGGCTTGGATGCCATCTCCATCACCATCTCCTACGCGTTGATCTTCAGGTGCCTCTGGGGACTGCCGTCCCCACACACCTCCCCCAAGGCTCTGCACACCTGTGGCTCCCACCTCTGCATGGGACATCACCATGTTTTACATGCCGTCCGCCTTCTCCTTCCTAGCACAGCGGTTCAGCCAGCATGTTCCTCGGCATGTCCTCATCTCCTTAGCCAACCTCTACGTCGTGGTGCCACCCATGCTCAACCCCATTGTCTACGGGGTGAGAACAAGGCAGATCCAGGAGCACGTGGCTCACCTGCTCAGGCTGGGGCACTTGGGCAGCAAGGGATAGTGGGCAGGCAGGAACAGGCAACCGGCCTGGTCTACCGGCAAGAGGAGTGAAACGAAGCCTTGAAAAGAGGGAAATGAATGAAAGACAGCGGGGATCTGGTAAACATGGACCAGATGGGAATGTTTTCAAAATAAGCGTGTTCAATGGACATCAACATCCAACCCATAGCTCTGTTGCAGAGAGGCTGGACAGGTTCCCAGATGTACTGATGGGAAACAACTCATTGGGACAGTAGGAGTCGGGCACTGGGGACTACCACTGTTCCCATGTTTCTGGGATCCCCTGCATTGTCCTAAACCCACCACTGTTGGGTATTTGTACAGTCAAGGCCTTTGTAAGCAAAATACAGTTTCTGACTTCTTAAGGTGCTATTGAGGATCTTATGAAACAGAAAACATTAAAGAAGTACATATAATATGTGTGCCTGTTATCTCATTATAGAAATGTCTCTGCTCGAGCTGTGTATCGTCTCTGTGGGATGGGAATAGACATGGCTGGGGCAGGGATGCTTCCTGAAGGCACTCAGGTCTGGGACCACCCATTGGGTCTCCTCTCTCCTGATGCCCTCTCAGAAGGCTGCAAGGACACAGAGATGGTGGGAGCACTACTCCTCTGCCCTGCTCGGCTGTTTGCACAAGAGCCAGCTGTCATCTGGGCAGCCTGACAGCAGGGAGATGGCTTGCCAGGCCCCCAGATGATCAGGTACCAGTGTGCCCCCCGGCTATGAGCTGTGGTAAGGTTGCAGGCTTTGCTGCCAACAGTGTGGGTTTGCTTCACTGTTGCTCCTCAGAGCAGTGCACTCAGCTGTGCTGTGGGCAAGGATGGGAAGATCTGATGTCTTCTGGCTGAGCTGGGCACTTTGGGGTGAGGGGTGAGTCAGTGGTAATAGGAGACATCCTGGTCCTGTCTTAGCATCTCTGTCTCTGGACTCCCAGGGGACGCGCAGAGCCAGCCTGGCTTCCAAGCATGAGGAAACCCCTGCTAGCTAATGTTGGATGCAACTGAAGTACAACACGTTTGCACAGAGAAGTGGCCCTGATCCCACACAGGGTGTAACTGAGCCAAGTCCAGCAGGACAGGGCCCTCCAACTTCCCAAAACTCCTCTCCTACCATTTCCACAGAGGTCTGTCTTGGGACAGCCACCTAGGAAGGAAACTGGGAGCAAATCTTGATTTAACATCAGCTGTGGCAATAAAAATGCGACTTTACCTGTCATCAGTAGTCCTCTGTCAAGTATCTCAAAGTGTTTTGCAAATATTCATACTCTCACTAGTAACACCGCTAAGCCAGTTGTTAGTGTATTTTCTGTAATAGGACCACATCTACTGAAAAAGGGAGGAATGACCAGCCCATTCCCTAAGGATGAGGAAGACGGCCTGGGTTACTAGAGAAACACAGGCATGGGCAGTGACATAGCATTTATGTTGGTGAAAGCTGAGATAACAGTTTTGAAGCCTGTGTAGTGGTGCTAGCAAATACAAGAACCATTCTTTTTCTCTCTCTACCTCTTGGTTTGAATTTCTAGGCCACTCATCCATCCCTTTCTGCACCCAGAATGGGCTAGCTCTAGATTTGGGTGCCACCTCTAGCTCAGAGAAGTCCCTAACATGCCCTCTGGAAGCTAGGAGGTGTGTCCACCTGGATGTGTCTGCTGCTGGCCTGCTGGATTTGGACCTCGGGTGTGGACAAAGCAACCAGCCGGCCTGGTGGCCAGGGGCATAATGCTGGGGTGATCCATAGCGTGAGCCAGTCTTGGAGGCTTTGGGACTGAGCTGCTGGCCCACGCAGATGGACCACAGGTCTGTGTCCCCCCATTCCCGATGTCACACCCCAAAGAATGGGCAGTTTTACTAGGGACCGCCTCCTCTCTGCCCTGTTTTCAAGGAAAAGGAACCTGTTTTAGGTCTGTGAATGAAGGGAAGGGCAGAGGTGTCCTCCCAGAGCCTGGCTGTGCCTGCAGGGTGGGGACGGAGACTGTCCCGATCCTCGGGACTTCTCTTCTGCCTTGACACAGTCACCTGAGGCAGTATTTGTGGTGCATCCGTGCTGACAAAATTTTGTTGAATTTTACAGACACCTCCAGCAACCCCAGAGTCTCCAGCGCACCTCAAACTTCTTTATATTGTGGTGCACAATTCAATTCAGATTTTGCCTGTGAATATTTCCATTCACATTTTTAACTGCAGATTCATCCTATCCATAGCCTTTGGGAACTGAACTCAGGCAAGTGGAAATCAGCGGGCCTGGATAATGTGTGCCTGAGGGGTCCAGAAGAGCCAGTGGAGGAGCCACCAGGCCTGCAAGTATTCCTCAAGTATCCCCTTAGGCTTAGCAAAACTAGTGAAAAAAAAGAAAAAAGAAAAAAAGAAACCCTTTCTGACGTGCTAATATTAAAAAGGTGAAATGGAATTATTGGAGAAATTTGAAACTGCTTAGTTTGACATTAGCTCCAAATAAAATAATGGAAAAGTGAATATGAGACTTGATCAATAAAGTGTAAAAAGGGCAAGAATATAATTAATGACAATCAGCACTTATTTTTGGTGTTTAGCTTCCACAGAATCATGTCATTTCATTTTCTGATGACTTCCACATTTGGATGATAAAGTTACCTGAAGGCTGAATACAACTTGAGTATTTTTTTAATTTTCATAACACTGTGATATATAACTCATTATAACAAACAAACAAACAATAAGTAAAGCAGATGTTAATGGAGTTTGGCTAACTGCAAAGTCTTATTTCAGCGATAGCTCCCCACTGAGAGCTAGTTTTCCATATATTTCTGAGGACATTCAGCAGGGATTGATTGATGCTGGGTCTGATGCTATATATGATTGTTATCAGTTGTGTAGAAGCAAGTATAAAATCGTTGCTAATAAGGTTTTTAGATGATGCAAAGACAGCTAATTTAATAGAGGTGAATGCAAAGTCATCCTCCTGAGGAGGAGGGGTTCAGGCTGTACCAGAGAAGGGGGCTACAGTCCCAGCGGAGGTGGCTCCAGAGAAGCTCAGGCATCTGAGGGAAGGAGCATCTTGGTGGGGGCACTTTGGGTGATGCTTGGCTAATGGGCCAATGTGGGGGTCCCAGTGTGTTCCTGTAGCTGTGCAGGGGCGATGGTGGGTAATGCAGGTCTATGATTCCCTTGGCTTGTTCTCAAATTTTTCAGCCAGTCCCAAGGTCCACATTTTTGAAAACATAGAGCGAGCTGGGAGGGTCCCTCGATGCATGCTGCACTGCTCCCAGCGGGATGGGAGGGACCGGGGGAGGCTGGAGTCGTGCTGGCTTCCAGAAGTCGTCCTGCTCCTTCCCCCAGCACATGCCAGCGCTGCCCAGTCCCCGCGAAACACCTCTCCCACCACTGCAATAATGACGGGGAGAAGATGAGGGGGAGAAAATCAGGAGAAACCAGCACTTTGATCCAACTTTGCTCAGCCACAGTAATGGCTGAGAGTCGGTTCACAGTCCCCTTTCAATGAAAATGAAAGCAAAGCGTCTTACAGATGCTTTATGGTGTTATGAAGGGGGTGAAGCTGGGTGATCACGGCAGTCCTTTGTGCTGTTAAAGGCCATGAAAAATAAGCCTTTGGGCCTAGGAACTGCTGGAGATCAAGACAAACTCCTCTGAGTGTCTGCTGAAGCGATGGGAGGCCATCTGGTGACTTCAGGTGAGATGTGGGGTGCTAGCTTGAAACTAAGCAGCACAGTCTTCCCCCAGTAGTGGGATATGAAAGGGTGAATTTCCTTTACCTATTTTAGCATTTCTGTCATAAAATATGTGTCTCCTTGTCTGATGAAGCAAGAAGAGCAAAAGCCTGCATTTTGAGTTGTGGACATCTTTGGATCATGAGCACCATCTGGAGAATTTCCTCTACATAAGTGCAATAGAGGAGTCTAAAACATCTGCCCAGTATCACAGCTCTCACTGAACAATGTAAGAGGGTGAAAATAATCAGCTGAAATGGGAAAAGTGTTAATTTTCTGTTTCTTCACATCAAGACTTACATTTTGAGATGTGGTGGGGATGGACGGAAGCAAAGTGAGCTGTGTCCTGGGTGTGGGTCCCCTGGGGCTCAGAGGCTCTATAAATACCCCCATCCCTTGCTGCGAGAGCAGATTCCCCGGCACCTGCACGTCTCTGCCTGAGGGCTGTGGACAGAAAACCCTCGTTCATGGCTGGGGCAGGAAATTGGTGAGTTGCTTGTGCTGAGCGAGCAAGTTCCTGCGCTTTTAGGAAGGTGTTATATCTGTGGAAGGGTTGAAATTAAAATTATGCCTGCTGTGGGAGGCAGGAGGCCTGTGTCGCTGCCAAAGGCTCAGCGATGCACTGCCTGACTTTGTGTCGGAAAGATGCTGCCTGATTAAACAGCGTTTGAGCCTGTCCTGGCTTTCCTCCCTGCAGAGCAACTCAGCTCACTGGAGCAAGTGCCGGTGCTCGGCCAGACCTTTGCACTCACCCAGTGCCTATTAGGTGAGAGCTGGATTATGCCAGGATCAGACGGGTAGAGGAGAACGGGGAAACAGCCTCTCCCTGTTCAGACTCAGAGGAGGATGCCCTGGTACCACCCTGCACCATTTGCAGGGAAGGCTGGTCAATGGTTGCACAGGGCTGACTGATTTACAGCCCCAGTGCATAAACTGAAACAGACTGCCCAGAGAGCTTGTGCAATCTCCATCCTTGGAGGTTTTTGAGACTCAACTGGATAAAGCCCTTAGCTGACCCCGCTTTGCACAGAAGGTTGGACCAGAGACCTCCCAAGGTCCTGTCCAGCCTGGATTGCTCCACAGTTCTGTGACTCCGTGAGTGGTTGTTATGGATTAGGTCTTCTGGCAGTGTCAGTGAGCTTGTGAGTACATGTACTCAAGACCTGTAACATTAAAGTTTGTTTTGTCCTTTCTTTTTAGTCACTGGAACCCTTGTAGAAAGTGCAAGGAATAGCCTGTCATGTTAGCTGGCAATTGCATTGCCCTTGCTCCCATCACCTGTGTCCTGATGGGCATCTCTGGCGTGGGGAGTCTCACCTCTGGATCTCCACCCCCTTTCCACTCATGTGCATGGTTGCTGTCCTTGGGAATTTCACACTGTCCTTCATCGACAACACATAGAAAAGCCTCCATGAGGCCAAGTACCTCTTCCTGCCCATGCTGGCCGTTGCTGACTTGCTGCTATCCACTACCACCGTGCCCAAGACACTGGCCATCTTCTGGTTTAGGGCTGGGGAGATTTCTTTGGAAGCCTGCATTACCCAGGTATTCGTCATCCTTGTCGTCTCCTGTGCTGAATCGGCAATCCTACTGGCTATGCCATTTGATTTGCAGATTGCCATCTGCCAGCCCCTCAAATATGTGACCCTCCTGATAAAAAGGAGACAAAGAGATGACAGGGACAATAGGGTTGGCTGCTTTAGCAAGAAGCTTATCCATCGTTTTCCCCATTGTTTTTCTTGTGAAGTGCTTGACCTGCAGAAACAAACTCCTCCCTCACACCTACTGCAAGCGCATGGGTATAGCCAGGCTGGCCCGTGTGGACATCACCATGAACGTCTGGTGTGGTGTTATGATGGCTGTTTTTGTGATAGGCGTGGATGCCACACTCATTGCTGCGTCTTACCCGCTGATCCTCCAGACTGTCTTCCAGCTCCCATCCAAAGACGCCTGGCTCAAGGCTCTGAGCACCTGCGGCTCTCATCTCTTGGTCATATTACTGTGCTTCATGCTAGCTTTTTCCTGCTTTTTGCACACTGTTTTAGGTACTGTATTCCCAGGTCTGCTCTTATCATCGTGGCCAATCTCTGTGGGCTTTTTTCCCCCACGCTAAACCCCATCATTTATGGAGTGACAAACAAACAGACTCAGAGGAATGCAGTCCAGGTGCTTTACCAGTGCCGCAGTTGTGGCTAAGCAGGCGTCCTGCTAGCCCAGCAGGCGGGAAAACACTTCTGGAGGCTTGGATACCGAAGTTATGTTTTCCCTTTGAATACATTGAGACATGTTATTCTAGAAGTGACAGCTTCTGCTTGCCTGGGGGGGCTGGACTGAGGTGAGGCAGTGCGGTGGGAAGGACCACAAGCAGGAGTCATTGTCCAGTGCCCAGTTGGTCGTGTGAGCTGGACACCCAACGGCCATGGTCAAAACCCAGAGTCTGTGCACTGGGCTGGAGTGGGGGCTGTCAGCTTGCCACTGGCTTGCTGGTCAACTGCTCCCTTGCTCCGCTTCCTCAGAGCTTGTATGAGACCCCGATATTCTGCCCTAGCTTGTGCAGACCCCCGGGTCTGCAGCAGAGCTGTGCAGGGTTAGTCATGCAGAGGTACAGGGAAGAGCAGCAGGCAACAGCATTTACACTGCAGCGGCAAGACCTGCACTATGGGGAGTTTCATCTGTGAGTGGCATCAGCCCGCAAGAAGAGCCCTAGGGTTTGCCCCTTCGGACGAAGCATCTCCTGCTTAAAACCTTGAAAGATTCAGCTCTCCAGCAGGTGGGCTGGCAGGAGGGATTGCAGGCAGGGATATTTTTAATTCCTCTCTAGGTAGGATAGGCTTCCTGCACAGACAGCAGGAACAGCTTTCGTCTGGAAGGACAAACACAGACAAGCTACACACAGAGACCCTTGGCCCCCCACACTCAGCCCAGAAGTCCCAAGTCACGCATCTCCTCCTTCTTCACCACCTGTGTGCTGCTGTAGCTGTGGGTTGCTTTGCCAATGCCTGGTGGGCTGCAGATGCCCAACGGCCAGCTCAGAGGAGCCACCCGCACAGCAAAAGCCCGTGGTCGGTGGTTTCCACCCCGGCACCCTCCTGCTCCATGTGTGGGGCCTTGACCTGCCCCCTGGAGATGCTTTGCTCTCCTCACAGCTGACCTGGATGGCTCCTCTCAGACATGCCTTTCTTGGGGGACCAGTATGGTGCCCCCCCTCAGCTGTGCCGACCAGCCCCAGAGGCCAGACAGGCTTTTCTTACATGATGTATAAAGCAGATGAGGAAAACTCTGCCTTCTGTGGGCTGTCACAGTGTCTTCCCACCCAGACATCTGTGCTGATGCTCAGAAGAGGGACAAAATGCAGCCTTGTGGTGCAGTCAGTGTTTGCAGTGCATGGGCACGGGGTGGGAGGGCGGGAGCGGAGGAAATCATCCCCCTCACGAAGGTTTCCCCTCCGAGCAGGGGAGGGCTCCAGGGCCGGCAGGGAGAGGCAGGGGCAGACACATTTGGCTTTTGCCCATGCCCTGAATCCAGTCTGCTCCAGAGCTGCAGTGTGGCACAGCACCACAAGCAGAAGTGGTTTGCAAACATCAACGTTTTGATGGTTTGCAAACAAGAAGTTTTGATGTTTGCATTTGTATATGTGCGTCCACAGGTTAGTTATGGTGTGTACTGTGCTTAATGCAGGTTAATGTGGAAAGAGACATTTCATCTAAAAACCTGCAGGAGTGAACCTGCTGGCTAATAAATACAGGAGAACAATCTCGCCGGTGATCAGTGGCACAGAGTGTTGGAGCTGCACTGCCCTAGCTGAAGGCAGAAATGGGCAGCAACAAACCCTCCTGGAGCAGCAGGTAAGTGCAGAGAGAGGGCCGGACCCAGAGGTCTGCTCTGGCAATTCGTGGCTGTTAGACAGGGGTGCTTTAATGCAGCCTCTTGAGAAGTGGGGTGTACCCCAGGGGATGCTCTGTCTTGTGCAACATGAGCTCAGGGAATGAAGCACATCTGACCAGAGACATTTTAGAGTAAAGAGCTCTAAAAAATACCTATTGCTGGGCTCAGTGGAGGATAAGCCAGTGGCTTTTGGCCTGGCTGACCTATTTGGGGCTCGTACTAATCCACAGTCTGTTTTAGCCTTAAAACGAATTTCTAGGGAGGAGCAGGTTAATGTCAGTCATGCAGTGCAGTGAGGGGGTGGGCTTGCTCATGGTGAGAGCGGTGCTGCAGTCCTGCCTTCTGGTTTGGGGTCAGTGTTTTAAAAGATAGCAAAAAAAGTCTGGAGAGGAGGGAGACAGAACAGACATATTATTCAAGTGCTGGAGAAAATACTCGATCTACAAAGGGTGCAAAACATATTAATTTTTAAAGAGCTGTAGACGCATCTTTACTGCAGGGTGGAAGTTTCAGGAGGAAACATCTGATGCTAAGGATCATTGTAATGCCCTTGAGAAGGATGAATTTGAATGAATGGAAAATGAAGCCAGACATATTCTGATTAGAAATAAAAGCCTTATTTTGAATAATGAGAATAATTAACTGCTGTGAGAAGCTTATGAGAGCAACAGTAGGTTTTCCAACAGTGACTATACCTATATATATATATGCCCATGTGGAGGATGGAAGTTATTTGGTACAAAGTTGTTTTCTCAGTGAAATCTTTGGATTCCAGAGTGGTGTAGGACTGAGAAGCAGTCTGCATGCCTGTTTTGGCCTTTAGGTCTACATGTGTGCATGCTTGCAATGTGATAATTTATGGTATTTCTGAGATGCCCCTGCCATTCTCTTTGGAAGGGCTCTTCTAAGCAAGGATAGATGCTGCTGGCATTTTGAGGCCAGATACATCATCTTCTCTAGTGCTTGGTGTTGAGACTGTTGGCAGCCACAATGCCTGTCCTACCTCTTCCCTGTCACCCTGCCCCACCCGAGTTCCCCTTCCCATCACTTGTGGAGATGCCACCGGAGGAGAGGGGAAGTGTATTTGAGACCAGACCCTGCTCCCTCCTCCCAGGATCCTGACCTCCACCATCGCATGGTCACTGCGGCCAAGGCTGTCTCCTACGTTCACATCCCTGACCAGTTCAACCTTGTTTCCAAGTATCAGGTCCAGCAGAGCCCCTTTACTTGTTGGCTCCTTCATCACCTGTGCCAGGAAGTTGTCATCAATGCATCTAGAAATCTCCTAGGTTGCTTGAGCCTTGCTATATTGTCACAGAATCATAGACTAGTTTGGGTTGGAAGGGACCTTTAAAGGTCACTAGTCCAACCCCCCTGCAATGAGCAGGGACATCTTCAACTAGGTCAGGTTGCTCAGAGCCCCGTCC